CACTTTCTTGGGTAGAGATGCCACTCTACAATTCACAGTAGAGATTTGGACCAAAGGCACAGAATAAGCACATCAGAATACACCCTACAAGAAATACATACATATTAATAGCAAGGAGAACTACTTTCTGCAAGGTCATGGTCTCTGTTCTACACACGTCCCATACTTGTTCTGAGAATCAGATAAAGAACGGTTATCTGGAGTGTGACACGTGTGTGTAAGTCACTATATTGTATCATTTGCTGAGTGTGTCTGTTGATGAGTGGGTACTCCTGGCAAAATGCCACCTGTGTTATTCATGCCACAATACTAAGGATTTCCATAGATGACTCTTGGAGTTCTTTCCATCCTAGATGACTTTCAATGTCCCTGCGTAAGACTCATTCAGCACCCTTCTCACAGTTTCACGATGTTTTCACCTCCAATGGCTCTCACTTCCGTTATGCTTCACCCACATGGTCACACTCTGAATCTTGTCATCACCTCCAAACTATTCCCCTTTGGAAATCTTACACCTCAAGACTTAAGAATATCTGACATTCTCCTCACAATATCCTAACCTTATAGCTCTGTACCCCCTTACTCCCATTGTGCCTGCTTTTCAAGCCCACTAAGATTTCTTAAGCCTTTTCTTCCCAACTCTTAGCCCCCTAATTAATGCAATAGCCATGTCTCTTCTTTATATTCCCAGTGGGAAACGTGGCTGTCCCCTGGCTTGTCCCAGAGAATCCCTCCACTTGAACTCTGGACTCCAGCTCCACCCCCAAGCCCTGTTTCATCAATTATTTACTCTCTCCTCTAGGTCTTCAACTTATCTTTTCCTGGCTTTTTTCCCTCAGCACATAGACATGATCCTATCTCTTTTAACAACTACCAAAAAAAAAAAATCTTACGTTACATGATCTGATATTCTCTTTATCTAGAATTCTCTTTTTTCCCTCCTTTCATGGTCGAATCTTTCCCACCCCACTCTAACCCCACTCACTCCTCTCACTCCTCTGGAACCTGTCTTCTGTCCCCACCACTTTTCTGAAACTGCTGCAGACCAGGCCCCAATGATCTAACAGGCTATGGTCATATTTCACTTCTTATCTAACGTGGTGTCATCTGTAGAAAGCTGTTCCTCCTTCTGCCTCTGCTTCTGTGATACCCTGTTGAGTGGTGTTCCTCTTCCCCCTCCAGCGGTTCCTTCTAAGTCTCCCCAAAAGGCTTCTTTTCCTCTTTCTCTTCAGTCAATGTGTAGTCACCCTCCACCCCCTTCCTTTCCTGCTGCTTGGCATCTCTTTCAAAGCAATTTTGTCATTGTCTGCAACTTAAATGACCATTTCTATATGCTGAGGTCATGCATTCCTGAAGCCTCAAACCTATATTGTCTTCTAGACACTCCTGTTTTTATGGCCTATAGGCAACTCAAATTTAACATGCCCCCAACTGGATTTATCATCTTTCCCATTTCCAAAACTGACTGTTTTGTATTTTCTACCCTGGTAGAGGGAAACCATCATCCATCCAGTGGCTCAGGCTACACCATGAGAGAAGCCAAGCTTGTCCCTCATCCCCAGGCTCTTCTGGCTCCAAATCGTATTGAATTTGTCCCCTGAGTATCTTTTTGATCCATCTATTCATCTCCCTTTCTCTAACACTGCTGAACTCAGACCTTTTGCATCCCTTTTCTGGATCTCAGTAACGTTCGGCCAGTTCTCCCTGCTGGCAGCTTCACCCTAAAGATTTGATTTTGTTTTTTCTTTGTCACTGTTATTCATTGATGTCTTTTTTTCCTTTAATGTCTTTTTCAAACTAAAAAGTAATATGCTGTCATTGCAAAATACCCAAATAATTATAAGGCTATAAAAAAAGTTAGTCACCCGATCCAGTCCTCAAATCTTACTCCCAAATACACTTTTTCCCCACAAAATAGGATCCCCCAAAATGCACTGTAATGCTTCTACATTAAGAGATACTTTCTTTTCCGCATTTCAACATCTCTGAAACCAAAATGTGTCATACAATCAGTGGTGTCTTAGATTTAATTACAAACGCTATTGTTTTGCAATGTGCTTTTTTTACTCGTTAATATGGGTCATGACTCCAAAGCAGCACTCACCTCCAGGATGATGTTTCTAAAGTACAAATCTGGTCAGGCCACTACCCTCCCAAAAATTCTTCAAAGGCTCCCCACCCAGCTTCCTCCCCTTCATTTTCTAACTCCCTCCTACTTTTGCAATCTCCTTTCCAGCACATCCATACACATCCTCTCCCTTAAAGCCATGTAGACCAATTGGCAGTTAGCTCCCCAATACACTACGCTGAGCCAGATCTTTGTGCCTTTGCACCAATGTTTCTTCTGCCTCTCCCTCACCTCTTCTACTCAAAGTTGCCTCTTATTGGAAAATGGTCCTGAGCCCCCAAGCTGAGCCTAGGTTCTTCCTTTATGCACTGCCCCCTCGACTCCAGCATCCGTCTTTGTTAAACCACTTAACATAGGAGTTTAGGCCATTTCTCTTGTATGCTGCTCCCGATAAATAGTGAGTTCTCAAGCACGCTTTCTTCTTTATACCAATTTCCCGTAGTGCCAGGCAACATGGACACTCCACAGATATTTTTGGAAATAATGAACAGTACATGAGGGAGGCACAAATATGCTCCCTGAGATCAGGCGAAAAGCATTCTAATTAACCATCCCTTTAACCAAGACAGAAAGGAGAAGAGAAGGCCTGGAGGCTTAACCACCTGGGTACCCAGAAATTTAAAGCAATTAGATTTGTTTTCTTTCCCCCTGCTTTCTGCTCCTCCACACCTACTTATTCCACCACCAACTAAAGATGATCTGATTTCAACAACCATGCCCTTTACGGCCCCTTCCTTTCTCCTTGGTCCTTTTAAGTGCTTCAAGTCCAAACCTCAGTCCAAACCTCATCAGTCCCTCTTGCCACAGACCTCTATTTTTAACCAGAAGTTTTGAAAAGTACCAAATGGGGGGTTCTTTCCACTTGCCACTCTAAATCCCCTACCTGAGTTTTCCCCTTGGACTGCCTCCTGCGCGAGGTGTGGACACAACGCTCAGTCCCACCAAGACTACACCAGGAAATAAACACAAAAGGAAGCTGAAGTTTAATACAAAACCTTTATTTTAATAACCTTCCCAGGAGCTTGAAGCTAATGTTCCACCTCAGTGGAAACCATTACTCCCCTCTCAACGCAGGACTGGGTTTGGATTCTAGAAAATGACAAAAATAGACAGAAATGTTTCCCAGTTCTTCTTGCTGACCTAGATAACTTAAAGCCAAGGATTCCAGTTCATTCATGGAAAAGTACCAGGGTGCTACTGGGGAATTAAAATAAATCTCAGTTAGTGTGGCCTATGTAGTGGTCACTAAGATTGGTCTATGCTAAAACATGTTGACAATTGTGGGACCAACATACTTTCAGTATCCTTCCTTGGCCAAAAGGACAGGGACTCATGACAATCAGAAATGGTAGAGAAAAGAAGGCAAGTGGAAAGATTGAGGGGCATATAGCAAAGAAGAGTGGCAAATGACAGGGCAGGGGAAAATAGAGACTTATAATAGGAAATACACAGCTGACAGAGGATTCCTAGAAATAGATTTGCGGTCACAGTTGGGGCTGAGGGTCAAGGATGTCATAACTGAAAGAAATGGAAAGACCCCTAAAGAAAGGAATGGGAGAGGGCGGATAGGCAGGTAGATAAAACAATGAAGTTTCTTGGGGGGATGTAAACAGGACTGAGAAATAAACAGGGCCTCACCTCAAGGACCTCAATAAAAGGAAGGGCAGGACCAATAAACAGACAGATAAAATGAAGCAGGAAAATAGCTACAACTGGACTGGGAATTAGACGGTTCACAGCCTCTCCATGGAGAATTAGAGTCAAGTGGACATTCTAATGCTTGGAGCAATGCAGTCAAGTCAGGCTAGCCTGTAACATGCTGAACATTTTGAAAAGTGTGAGAAGAAACTGTACATTCGGAGAGAAAAGGCAGCTACAGTTTAGCCAACATGGAAGAGACTGTGCAAAAATCGCTTTTGTTCACAAATTTTAGAGAAAATAAAAACAAAGTAACACTAGGCATCAAATACCTTAATTGCCAAGACGTAATTCCTGGTTATTTTAGTTGCTGGGGCAATCACCTATCAAACTGATTTTTCCTGCACCTTAACGCGAGACAATTACAAAGGAAAAGGAAAGGTCGAAACCAACCTGCAATTTTCATTGTGATGTCTCTTTCCAGTACCGACTTGGGTGTGTTTGGACTCCTTTGAGCCATTGCCTGAGCAGTATCTCCTGATCAAGAGAGGCTTGTTTGGGATACAAAGTGAGTTTCCCCAACCTCAGAGAATTTGACATTATATCCCACCTTTGGGAGAGAACGCAGAATGCCGGTTAATTTGCACCTTTTTTCTCACCCATCAACTTCAGCCATAACTTATGCAGCTCTAGGAGAGAGCAGGAACGCATCTTTTATTGCTTTCGTTTCCTTTGTGGCCGAGACTCAAAGGAACGGCCGCTCGCTTACCTGCCTTCCACTTCCCGGGCCGGGAGTGGCTGTGCGTCCTTCGGAGCAGTTGGCGGCCGGCTCCCGCTTGCTGGCGACTTCACCTACACGCGCTCTCTTTGGCTGGGACCAGCCTGACTCATGTGGGGTGGCAGGGGTGGGGGAGACCTCAGAGGGCGGAGGGGCGGGAGGAGGCGGGCCGGGCCCTTCCCCCAGAGCCAGGGAGGAGGCGTCGCCAGGGCGCAGGTGAAACCGACTCCGACCTATCCCGGGAACTTTCGCTGCCGGGACTCGCCGAGAGAGGCCGGCGTCGCGCAGGGGGGGCTTGAGAGCCGCCCTCACCCATCCCAGCTGCGCGTGGGGGCTAAGCCTGGGGGCTTTTCCCTGGGGACCCGCGGCCCTTTTGGCGCGCTTGGGGGCTGCAAGCAGTTCCAGCCTCCGCGGCTGATGGAGGCGGGTGGCGCCGCCCCGGGCGCAGGTGACACCCGACAGGCCAGGGTTTCGGCTGGTGAGGGAGAGCGCAGGAAGGGCGAGACACAGATACCCCGGGGTCAGGGGACGACAAGGCAGCGATGGCCCGGGAGTTGAGCCAGGAGGCACTCCTGGACTTTCTGTGCCAGGCCGGGGGCCGAGTGACCAACGTCGGCTTGCTGAACCACTTCAAGAGCTTTCTCCGAGACCCGGACGCGTCCCCCAGCCAGCACCAGCGACGCCGTGAGCTCTTCAAGGGCTTTGTCAATTCAGTCGCCGCAGTGCGCCAGGACCCCGACGGCACCAAGTACGTGGTGCTCAAGAGGAGGTACAGGGACCTTTTGGGGGAGGAGGGGCTGCAGCGACCCCGCGACGCGCCAGCGGCCGCCGCCCCTGCAGGGGGAGCTGCGACAAGCTCCCCGCGAGGCGCGCACCCGAGGGAGTCGCCGCAGCAGCAGCCCGGGCGGCGGCGGCGCGAGAAGGAGAGGGAGGAGGAGCCAGCAGGTGCCGCAGCCCCAGCCGCCCACGCAGGTTGCAATGGACTCCCTGTCACCGGCGCCCCGGAGGCGGCAGGGGGAGGTGGCAAGCAGAGAGACAGCTCCGGCCATAGGGCGCCGGAGGCCGCGGCGGCTGCGGCGGCAGCTGCCCAAGTCGGAGCGAAGTGCGCGGCGGCGGAGACGCAGGTCCCCTGCTACCGGGAATGCCTCCAGAACGGCCTGGGGGGACTCCCCGGCGAACCGCTGCCCGACGGACTCCTCGATCCCGCCACCGCAGGGGAGGAGCCGGCTCCAGCTGCCCAGGATGACCGCCGGGCTCCCAGGCAGGAGCGGGAAGGCGCGCCGGCTGAGCCTGCGCAGGTGCCCGCAGCGCCCCTCTCGCCTCCTCCAGCCGTCGAGGCCAAAGGGAGTGGGGTTTCCCCGCCTGCCCTCCTGTCCCGCCATCCTTCCCCTGGAGACCCACCGGAGCTGTTGACCCCGGTCGACCTGCATTATTCGACCCTGCAGCAGCAGCAGCGCACTCGAGAATGGGTGGCCAGACACCCACATATACCCGGGGCCTGGGACCAGGGTCCCATCAGAGCCTGGTCAGTGCTGCCAGACAACTTCCCCTCGGAACTGGGCTTGTGGGTCCCGGAATCTAACTCGTCGCTGCTAGATCCCTCTCTTGCTCCTCATTCTCTCTGTCCTGTTGTTCCTGAATCCTGGCTCAGGAACCGTCCTTTGACAGTCTTTCGTAGCATTCGTTGTCAGCTGTCCCTCCAAGATCTGGATGACTTTGTGGACCAGGAGAGCCACGGCAGTGAGGAGAGCAGTAGTGGGCCCAAAGAGTCCCCTGGAGGTTCTGAAGAGGGACTGCACGTTGCCCTGGGAACCCCAGATTGGAGAAAGCTTAGGAATCCAGCTGGGGGCCTTTCTCCAAAGGAGGGCCGCACCAGCTGGAGCCCTCAGGGCCTCAGAAACAGAGGAGATGGTCACAACTCTCAGCAGGTCCCAGAAGGGGCTAATGGCCTTGCAGGCCACCTGCAGGAGCCTTTATCCTGGCCAGCTCCCAGATTAAGGAGATCCTTCAGGAGGAGCTCTCAGGTAGGGAGAGCTAAATTGTCCTCCTCCGATGAGGAGTGCGTTGAGGAGGACTTCCTGAAAAGAAGTCGGCGCCCACCACGGTCCAGGAAACCCTCCAAGGCAGGAGCAGTGTCCAGCCCCAGGGTGGATGCTGCTTTGACAACAAAACCTGCCCACATTAAGGCTGCTGTCGTTGAGAGGGGTCCACTACACAGCCTGTGGACCCCAGGCAGGGAGGAGCCTGTAGCCTTGGTCCCACACAAACCCTCTGAACACAAGTCATCCCTGGTCCCCCTAGATGCCAGGGAGCATGAATGGATTGTGAAGCTTGCCACTGGGTCTTGGATTCAGGTGTTGACTTTGTTCTGGGAGGACCCCCAGCTGGCTTTGCACAAAGACTTCTTAACTGGGTACACTGCTTTGCACTGGATAGCCAAACATGGTGACCTCAGGGCCCTTCAGGACTTGGTCTCTGGCACCCAGAAAGCAGGGATTGCTCTTGATGTAAATGTGAAGACCAGTTGTGGGTATACCCCTCTGCACCTTGCAGCCATTCACGGCCACCAGGGGGTCATGAAATTACTAGTGCAAAGGTTGGCTTCTCGGGTGAATGTCCGGGACAACAGTGGGAAGAAGCCATGGCAGTATCTGACCAGTAATACCTCCGGGGAGATATGGCAGCTGCTGGGAGCCCCTCGGGGCAAGCCTATTTTTCCTGTCTATTCCTTAGTCCGAAGCTCTTCCCCCACCAGGAAAGCCAAGAGTCGGGAAATATCTAGAAATATCACCCGGAAGACTTCCCTTGCCACACTACTCAAAAATCAGCACAGCAAATGGAAGTTAGCCAACCAGTACGAGAAATTCCCCACTCCAAGGGAAAGGGAGGAGTATAGTGACTGAGGCGGGACCCTCTCTCTGACACGCAGCCACCACACCCCCATTCTTGAGCCCCTCAATGAGAGAATTCAGGGGAAACAGAAAAATTGCTGAGGAGTTGGTAAACAGAGAGATCAACCTGGAGTTTCCCTGCCTGAGTTTTATAGGTCAACACGTCTTGGACCTCAGAGATCAGCCAGGCTCTCCGATGGCTCAAGACCTTGGGCCAGTGAATCCTCTACAAGAGGTAGAATCAGGTGCTTAAAACCCAGCAGGTGTTTCTTCTTCTTCCCTTGCCACCACAAACCTGGGCACAGTAAGCCACATTTTCCAAGGCAGCAATCCCAGGCCTTGACTAGGGAGGGAACAGATGTCGAATAAGAAGGGGAGCATTTCGAGGAATTGATGAAACTCAAACAAAATCCTCTCTGGCTGGTGGATCTCTGGCTTATGTTCAATGGAGAATAATTTGGCTGCGAGTGGAAAGCACCAGATTTGAAATCAGATGGCTCCTCTCTCTCCCTTCCCTCCCACCCTTCTTTCCTTCCTTTTTTTTTTTTTTTTGCATTCAAATCAGTGAAATAAACTTATTACTGGAGAGTAGAATTTGATTTAAGAGATTCCTCAGTTGAATGTAATATATGGAGACTAAGGCATCAAATAATTTGTGCCTTATTTGGGGCTCTTCTCCATGGTCAAAGAAGCAGTTGGGTAAGATCCAGTTATGACTGACATCTAGGTCATGCTTTTTTTGTTTAAATCAATCTAAGGGAAACTTTCCAAATGTAAAAACTGTTGGCTCATTTGCCTAGTGACACAAGGAAACTCCCTGTGTCACAAACAGCAGAATTAGCATTAGTAGTTTGCAATAGGTTTGAATGGCCAACGTTCATACTCATGAAAGGCGAGAAGTGATTTTGCCTCTGGGAAGCAGTATGGGTTAAGAGGTGAATACCTCCCCACCAGAAATTTTCTAAGCTGCTAAATATAATTTTATTTGCACTAAACTTGTTGCCAATTAAGATTAAATATTAGCCTTGAAGTGCTGTATCTCTAACAGGAAGTGTTCTGTTAATTGCTTGTGATGGGACTGATCTTTGTGGGTCTGTGGGATGAGAGAACGGCTAGTCTATAAACAGCAGTAGCACATCAAGATTTCAGAATAAATTCAAAGAGGGCTGAAAATGAAATTTCCAAGTGGAAATTGTTAATTTTTTTATGGAAATGTTTTCGTGTGCTGTGGTAATGATGCTGTATTTTAAAAGTATTTTTATATTTCTTCTGGTTATTTCCCCCCTTAAATGTCAACCAATCTTTATAACTTACTGTATTTATGCTGATTACTGTTAATTCTCTTCTTTACAAAATTGTGTCTCAGTGAATGTCAAATATTTTTGTTTCTTTGTAGTTTTACTTTATAATTTTGCTGAAATAAATATATGTTCTATTAGAAAACATTAATAAAATAGGCATAATAAAGAAATTTAGGGTGGCCAGGTGGCTTAGTTGATTAGGGCGTGTGCTCTGAACAACAAGGTTGCTGGTTCGATTCCCACATGGGATGGTGGGCTGTGCCCCCCGCAACTAGATTGAAGGACAACGACTTGACTTGGAGCTGATGGGTCCTGGAGAAAACAGTTACCCAATTAAAAAGACAATTTTTTTTAAAAAGAATATTGAGGGTTGTTTTTTTCCAAAGAAACTTATACAAAGGATGAAAATTTGGCAGATCAAATCAAGAGAAAAGAGGGACAACCCCAGACAGTGGAGCCATGATTAGGAGAGATGAACATTTAAAAGAATAAGAGATAAACATCTATGCAAATACTCTAGTTACTGGGTGATTTTCAGGGAAAAAAAGTCACAAAAATGTCAACTTCTTTTAAAAGCCAAAGAATGCTTTCACTTTACCATATTTTTATCACTATATCAATTTATTCAACAAATATGTTTTGCTCAGTGCTGTGGGATTTATGCAGGTGGGTGGGACATGATCTCCCCCTTCCTGAAACTTGAAACCTAACAAGATTTGTTGTTGAGTGATTTATACCCTATCTTGCTCCCAACGTGTCTCTTAAACTGCATTATATTATATGTAACCTTTTAAAAGAGGCAAAGAGAAAAAAGGTGGTACCAGGAATGAAGACAAAAAACAACCACATTGCAAGAAAAAAATTTCAAAGTGTAATAAGTACAACATTAAGTGCTCCAGAGGATTTCAGAGAGACTCCTTGGGGCTGAGAAAATCAAGGAGGGCTTCACCGAGGCCAGGAATCTTTTAGTGAATGATGCTGTCTTTACAAAGAAACCAGCTTTGTTGGTTCTACCACATTCTTAACTCCTGCTTCAGTGTGTGGCTTGCATAGCTCTGCTGTTGGCTGATTAGAACACAGTCCTGGGTCTCAAGTTAGTTCTCATGAGGACTCAGGTCCCTCTGGCCTTTGTCCACATGTCATACCTATGACTCTGGTGAACTCTCTTACCTGGTCAACATGTGCATTGGAAGGGGGCCAGGCAGAAGAGGGTGTTGAACGAAGAGTAAAGCAGATCTGATCGATAATCACCCTCATATGTCGTAAAACTCAGGCGAGGAGAGCTGCCAGGCCCAGTACATTTCCCAGCATCCTGCCAACCCCTCCCTGCCATGAACCCTCCACTGAAGCCACACCAGCCCACTGGGGGTATTCACCACACTTCCCTCTCAGTTTCTGTCTTGGGGCTGAATTCCTTCAGGTTAGGGTCCGTTTTATTGTTTTCCTGGTGAACTTACTGTTATTTTACCAGAGACAGCTCAAATGTCACAGCCTCTATGAAGATTCCAGGGTAATGACCTCCCAGCCAGAAGACGAGGAGCTGCATCAGAGTTTTCATAATACTGTCTGCCCACCCCACTTGCAGTTTTTGCCATGTAGTGTTTTAGTAAATTGTTTGAATGTTTTGTTTTTCCCTAAGACTTGGAACACCTGGAGATTAGAGAGTGTATTTTCAATTCATCTAAATTTACCAGACATTTATAGTACATCTGTTATGTGATAAAGACATAATTTCTGCCTTCAAGATCTCATAGACTGCTGGAGCAGGAGCGTGTGAGGGTAGGGTCACTGACAAATAATTCTAGCACAGTGAGGTAAGTGGAGAGACGTGTGCATCAAGACTATGAGAGTACAAAGAAGGAGGGGATATTTGTAGAGCATTTTCTCTGTGCCAGCCTTTGTGTTTATGCTGGAAATACAACATTCAGCAAGATACATGTCTCCTGCTCTTGTGGAACTTTCCTGGACAGTGGAAGCCAGGAAGGAAAAATGGAAGTTCGATGGGCTTTGAAGGGCCAAGTGGAGAAAGGAGGAAAGAATATTCCAGAAGAAGGAAGGGACAGGAGCAAAGCTGCAGGACGTGTTTGGGAAGTACTTAGCTAATTGTGGTTATGAGAGATACACGGCCATGGCTGTGTGACACAGTGAGGTGGTGTGGAAAGAGATGAAGATGGAAAAGTGACTTAAGGCCAGGTTGAAAAAAGACATCTTTTATGATATGTCAAGAAATACAGGCATTTTCTAGGAAGCCAGGGATTGTCAAAACTCCTCCAGAAAACCTTAGTGTTGAGGCCGGCCGAGTGGCGCATTGGTTAAGAGCTGGCTTGGGACGCCAGAGAGCCCCGGTTTGGATCCCACATATGAGGGCCAGTGACACTGCCCTCTACAGCTGAGATGCTGAACAACAGCTCAACCTGGAGCTGGGCTGCCGTGAGTCATCGGCGACGGCTAGGCTGCAGCCACTGCTGCAGTGGGTTTCCATGGGCTACCGTGTGTAGCCAGCAGCCACCGTGAGCGGCCGTCCAGAAGCCAGCGACTGATCTGCCTGGCCTGGGAAGAGCGCAATGATGGTGCCAACTTGGGCCAGTGAAGCAACGTCCTCCACAACTAGGCTGAAGAACAAGAAGACAGCAACTTGTCTGTTACCCTTCCCCCAATTCCCCAGCGCTGTTCCCATCCCCCAATTCTCCAATAAAAATCTTTAAAAATAAATAAATAAATAAATAAATAAATAAATAAGTAGGTGGGGGCCAGCTTGCAAAGTCTTTGTGTGCTGTGTGAAGAAATCTGAAATGCATCCGGTATTCACTGGAAGCCTATGAAGGATCTCAAGCAGAGAGT